CTATATCATATCTTAGAATCGAAAGCTAGTTGATACTGTCACCCGCTTATGAATATGGTGACCTCCACCTTCTAAGCTTCTTACCGGATCTAATCAACTGATATCTTTTCTGTCACCTACTAATAATGTTCCCGTCAAATCCCTTACATCTTTTCTTAGAATCAATGCCTCACTGCTACAGGGACCGGCGCTATGAATTTCATGACAGACAGACAGAAACACACATACACACACATACACGGACATAGCCGATTATATATAGTAGGATGGTTGGTGTGACTTTTAAAAACGAGCCCGAATCAAACCCCGCTCAAACGGCAAACGCTAGCCTTTATGAGGGTACGTTGTACACTGGGAATCCCCAGCGGGGGGGGGGTCAAATTTGGTCGCTGAATGGAGAGTGATCGTATATGAAGCAGAGATTTTTTTTGACAGTTGATTTTTCCTGTTTCACGCGCTCCCTGTGGAGGGTGTATCTGGCCTCCTCTCGGAGTCGTATATGCACCCCTCCCTCTCATCGTGTCTGGTCCCACCAAGTAATCATTATTTTTATTTTATTTCCTTACTAGTCTCATCTTTGAAGACCTCATCTTTTCCAGCGGTTGAGGCGTCCTGTCAAAAGCTTCCAAGGGAAAGCCAGGTAACCCTGGCAAATAACCCTCACCCAGAGTTAGACTTTCTAGGGAGCAAAATCTTAAAGCACATTTGAAGGAACTAGGGTAATGCAATATCGTCTGCTGATGTTAGTTAAAGGTAGGGAACTCGCGTAACGTAACTCTGCTTGATATCCTCTCGCTCGCAGTGAGATGTTAATGACGACAGTGCACTCTCTTCGCAGGGACCCTCATTCTGGTTGTTCATCAATGCTCCTTTTTTCTCGTTTCGTTCAACAAAAAAAAAACAGGAAGAAAGCTCCCAAAGTCCGTGAACAGAGAAGAGCATAAGAATTCTTGAGAATAGCTTTCGCATATATAGCACTTTTGTTACATTCTCCTTATAACTGAAGATAATTGCAAGCATCACCACCAGCTTTCATTTTAATTTTCAGGTTGTGCACATCATGGAGGACAAGACTCAAAGCGTCGAGACAACAGCCACTCCATCGTGCTGTGGCCATGAGCATTACCATGCGCCAGATGATTACTGTACTGCGGAGTTCCAAAGCGATAACGAGGACTGCTTGGCGCCACCGTATGAATACGCCGAAACTCGTCGATGTCTCCAACCGTCACCACCACCTGACGACGTCACGCAGCGGCGGATCACCCTGTGGCGACATCGTATCGCCGCCATGCCTGCGCCATTGGCCCAGTTTGACAAAGAGACCAATATCATGGGCATTGTGCATACTTCGGTCTAGCTGAATTTCCTTAGCCAAGGTATCAATACTTTCACTTAAATCAGCTCAATAAAGTTAGAATTGACTTCTTGTCAAATAATTGCCTAGGTGTATTTCTTTCACATTCAGGGACTCTTCCCATAATCAAAGATATGCGCGTAATTCCAATGTTTTGCTTTCTCATTTCGGAAGAGAATAGCAAAAGTCGGGAACAAGCGAAGCCAAAGAACACTTCCGTCTCTGACCCACTGTGACTTGCGGATCTCTCACAAATCTTCTGCTCACCTGAAGCTGCGTTCATACTTTGGGGCGGCGTCCACCAGCGACCAATGGCGTCCATCAGCGTTCCGAGCATCCGTGCAGCGTCAGCGACTAGGAAAGTGTAAATATCGATGCGTCTGCCAGCGTCTACCAACGA